GGGTACTATAAACCCGGCCGGCCGAGATATCGAGACCAGATCCCATCCTGCGATCCGACTCCTGATACCGACTTGACCAGTACCTATTACCTCTCGGGGCTGAGGTTTCGCTTAGCTCTGTCGGGTTTCGCCGACTCCTGTCACCACTCCGCGGGCTGAGGTTTCGCTCAGCTCCACCGGGTTTCGCCGGTTTCCATTGCGAAGGCAGAGCTCGATGTGACATTCGGTTTTGTCCGCAATACCTCGCCGTCTAACTTGACATTAGCTTGTAAGTGCATGTGATACAGAAGTCCGTTAGTTATAAGCCGGTAGCTCTAAATTCTTTAGTTGTAACCGCACCATAGTCACGTGTAAATAAACCGTTGTCGACCGCACGCCGCACCTGTCTTGCGCTTCTCGCCGCCTTACGCCAATCGCTTTGCATCTCCGCTTTGCTATTAGACTGTGACATCACCAGGCCCTGCACTACTCTGTATCTATCTTTCTATCAATCTTTTCGCTGCAACCTGTGTTCGCGTACGCTCGAGTCTCCCCTCCTCTCGAACCCGGACACCGACGAGCCGATCCGAGCGTCGAGCGAGGTGACCGCGTTACAATGTACGTATGTACGTATGTATGTATTAGGCGTACAAAAAAGTTCTGAGCTTTTTTTTGTAAAATTCAATTTTTATTCAAAAACAACAAAAAATGTTAATCAGCAAAATAATCCCCGTTTGCATCAACGATCTTTTGCCATCTTTCGGGTAGCTTGCGAATTCCTTGATGATAAAAGCTCACCGGCTTCGAAGCGATAAAGTCATCAATGCATTTTCGTATCTCTTCAAATCTCACGAAATGTGTATCAGCTAAATGATGCTGCAGCGACCGGAATAGGTAGTAATCGGAAGGCGCCATGTCTGGGCTATACGCCGCGTGCGGGAGAAGTTCCCAGCCTAACGCAAAGATATGGTCCTGAGTCGCTTTCGCAACATGTGATCGAGCATTGAAGCAAAATCACTTTACGACGTCCTTGACCAGTAAATGGCCTTTTTTCTTCTATTGCATCGCTCAAATTGGTCAATTGTTGTTGATAAGCGGTCTGCCGTGATTGTTTCACCCGGTTGTAACAACTCGTAATACAACACACCTTTCCAATCCCACCAGATACAGAGCAAAACCTTCTTAGCGTGGATATTGGACTTTGGCGTCGATGTCGAAGGTTGACCATGATCAATCCATGATTTTCTACGTTTAGGGTTATCATAAAGAATCCACTTTTCATCGCCTGTTGATTTTGTGCAGAAAATCTTTTTTCCGAAACTTTGAAAGCAAAGTGAGTGCAGTGTCACGCCGACGATTTTTGTTGTCTTCGGACAATTCATGCGGAACCCATCTGCCTTTCTTCTGAACCTTTCCCATCGTATGTAAACGTACGAAAATGGTTTGCTGCGTAACGCCAAGCTGTTCTACAAGCTCCTTTTCAGTTTGCGCAGAGTTTATATCCAGCAGTGCTTGCAATTCGTCCATTTCAATCTTTTGAGGGTGTCCAGCATGCGATTCATCTTCAAGACTGAAATGTCCTTGGTGAAATTTTTGATACCATTTTTTACATGTAGTATGACTTACAGCGTTCTCTCCATATGCAGCACAAATCATTGCAGTGGCTTCAGCAGCTATTTTTCTTCAGATGAAACGCGAAGTGGATGGAAAATCGAATATGCTCTTTTGTTATTGCCATCGTGAACACTACTGATTTTTGAGGTTAACTATATATAGTTTTTACGAAGATGTAATGGAAGAAAGAAAAAGACTCTTTATATATATTTATACATTCTATATTAATTTTTTTTGTACATTGTAAAAGTAAAAAATGAATTAATTGTAATAAATGAATTAATAAATTACACTGCTTTTGTTTATCCACGAATTGTGCGATCCATTCCAACCATTTGATGTAATCCTTATCTCCTTTCCTGCGCAATACTTTCTCCGAGATACACATCCGGATGAGTCGCGCGATGCAACTCGTGCTCGTAGAATGCTCCAGCGACGGCTTTTCCGCGATAATCCTCAAGCGGATAAATTACAGGATTAGTATGCTGTAGTATGTATTTTAATGATCTTAAACACCTCGGTGGTCCAATTTGGCGTGTAACCTTTTTCGAAAATTGTCTTGTACTTGCTCACGCATAGCGAATCGCCTATTTTGAATTTTGCTGGACCTGCGATCTTTATCGCACTGTACACCGTGTCCAAGAATCTTTTGGCGATCGCGGGAGTTACGTCAGCGGGTCGAATGCCGATAATGCAATGCTTGCTTGTAATCTGACACGAGGTAGCGCGTCGACCCACTTGTAAGTGCTATTGAGCGTAAACTTCCACATGTCGTTCTTAAGCGATCGAATCACGTATCGACGAAACGAGCTAATCGATTGACATCAGTGAGGAAAAAAACAATTTTTAAATTGTTTTAAATTGTATATCTTATTTATTATCAAACATCGTCAACATCGTAGCTATTTCTATGATGAGAAAATGCGCGTCATAATCGAATAAGTTATGAAATACTATGGGAATGCAATATGAATCTTTATAATTTAGATTACAATTTGAATGCACGGGATCACGGTAACGACCGGTAAGGTGGCAATGATCGCGTATCATGCGAATGTAAATGATTTTTCACAAATATGACAACATGTCGCGCTACGATATGCCTCCCACTGTTCTCTCGACAACGTTTTCATAAGGAAATTCGCGGATAACAGAATTTTTACTTGATGCGCCAAGTCTTCTAATTGCCGAACGAACGCAACGCAGTCTTCGCCGCGAAATCGATATACCGATAACGCATCGTCGTATGAGCTTTGCACGTAGTATCCGATACTAAATATCTCGTGCTGCTGATAAGTGTACGACGCTCTTCTTTTTCTGCCGGTTCCGTTCGCCATCCAAGTACGCACTCCAAGTCCGTGTAAATGACAAAAGGAAGTCGTTCCTTATTTGTGTGGTTCTTGAATTCGAGCCACTTGTCGTCCTCGCTCGGCAGTCGGATTGCGCATTGTTTCTTTTCGCAGTCCGTTGTATTTGACTGCAATTTTTCAGACGAACTGAAGTAATGTAGACATCTGCAAACGGAAAATATGATTTTTTAGTATTTATTATAATAAACAATTTTATAAGAGAAATAATAAAATTTGTTAAAATACATACCGATCGCAAAAGTATTTCTTGTGTTCTTTTTTGTTTATTTGCGAGCTTACAAGGCGGGACAGGTCTTTGATGTATTCGAAGTGCCCCGCGTTGTCGTCGCGCGGATTCTGTACGTACAATATATTTGCATGTTTCTCCATCTTCTTATCTGTCAACCGTATCGGAAGTATCTCCTTTTCCTTGATACCGTAGACGTTGATTGAGATGTCATTGAGATGTTCGAACCTTTTAATCTGATTCAACGTCATCGGAAACGTAATGTCTTGGAGATTTAACACTGTCGTATAATGCGGGTACGACAATTCCCGATCCGTATGCCTTTCGACCGGATACAGAGCCGCGACCACCGATCACGCGAAACACGCACTGTTCTTGGATCGAACGTTGATCACCACTCGCTTTAACATAATTTCTCACGGCAATTCGATGTAACATCCCGCGTGCATTGGATTATATTTATTTATATTAATTGTCAAATTTAATATATGTGATAGCACCCATCCACTGTCGCGTTCTTGGAACTCTTCGAGCGTAGGTTCGATGACGTGCTGCTCGTATCTCTCGTCCAAATTTGACACTCGAAAGAGTTCATAGTTTTTCGTGTTTATACTTTTATTGGCGCGTTTATCGCTCGTCACAAACTCGTCGTTGAACGCGGTGTTCACTTTCACACTATCGTGTCTTTGTACAATGTCTCTCACTCACTCGAACTCTACACCACCAGTCTTCCAAAAATCGTCGCGGCTCGATATAGTCCACGTTAATCACCGCATCTGTCAATATACGGCTTTTAAACGCCGGATCAATCTCGCGCCAAACGAGAGATCCAGTGTCTCTACTTGGGTATTTGCCATCAACGTGCACGAAACGTCTTTCTAATTGTACTTTTGCACCCACGAGTTGTCCTATCCTCGCCACCGCAGATTGTCTATTTGCAAGTGAGTCGAGAACGCTTAACACGGCTAAGTTCCTCGAGTTGTTTGATGCACTCGTCGTATCGTTGCAGCCACGCGAAACGCTCTATCAAGGTAGCGATCTGGCTGCATTGCTCCAGCGGGTCGCGTTCCACTCGTTGTAAGTGTTCCATTTTTTTATATGTTATATTACGTCCCCACTGAGCACTTGCATGTGATTTGTTTACAATATTGTCTTTTTTACGCGATGCAAATTGGGCACATGTTACATGGCATTGTTACATATACGAACTGACTACAATTGGAACAAAATCGACCATATAGCGCATCAAGAGTATTTATGCTTCCTAACGGCATATATTATTCCAATGTTAGTATCCGCCAGACGAACATGCATTCGGCACATACAATTAGTGCACCACCCGTCGAATAATAAAATTGTATTGTACTGTAAAATTGTATTGTAATGTTTTTTATTACCATTCAAAGAGTTCCGAACGTGTAACAATTTTCTCCACATAATTCGTAAGCTCCTCACTCTGATACTCAAGTAATCGCTGTCAGACAATGCGTGCTCTTCATCTTCATCTTCATCTTCGTCTTCAATATCCATGTCAATATTTTCAACATTAATGTCCATTTCTTCTTCATCTCCAAATACTTCGTTCATTATATTCGCGATGTCTTCTTCCATATTTTCAAATCACAATATTCACATGGTCAATTATTTCTTTCTCTCACATTAGACTTCCATCTACTGTAATCCTGCACACTCCATGACACATTATATATATCATCTACAGTTTCTTTGTTCCTTTGTCTAAATCAGAGCATCATCATAAATCTCCCCGAATCGCAATTTGTTTATAGCAGCCGGAGTATCGACGCTTCTTTTTAACACGTCGCGACGCGTACGTCGAGTTCCACGAAAATCCATCTTATCACGGCTTTTTCCTGGAAAAAAATTTGAACACATCACGCTCCTTTGCGAACATATCACTACATGTCACAACAATGAAATTCCTAAAAAGGGAGAAGAGAGGAGGAAGAGTGGAGGGGGAAGGGGGGATTAATGGTTTGCCATGTCAAAAATTTACGCTGATGCGATCAGTCCTCCATTGAACGATCTGCATGAAAAGTACTCCGCTCCTCCATCATTCGTTTGTACAAACGATCAACAATGTACGCAATGTATTCCGCCAAAGGAAGCAGCGCACCGTACGATGGCGAAAAATAAAAGAAGGAACGTAATGCATAAGTTTCAACTGCATTTTTTATTTTTTCTCTCTTTCTTTCCAATATTGTACAATATTATATATTTAATTTCTACAGCATTTCGATGGAGCGTCACGCGGTGCGCTTACTAAGCAGACGTTACACTTTGACGACCACAAGTTACAAATTTTTGGAAATTGGAATCAACGTTAGTCCACCGAGCTACATGGAGATCGCTCTGGGAAATCATCGGGAACAGGAATTGATACTATCTCTCGAAACGTGGAAGGGACTCTACGAGCAGCGATGGAATATCTATAAATTGTTGCAAAACGATTACAAAAACGACACAAAGAATTTTATAAGCAGACCATTAACCGTCAGAGTTTGCCTGATGAACGACGTTACACTCGTACGTCTTGAATCTTTGAACGTACGCTTTGAACGTACGATGATCGAATTACGCCGAATGTTTGATCTGAATGAATGTATCGATGTGACGTTCGATCGATCGTCAGATTCGTCGATATGATCGATGCTAAGTATACGCGATTCTCCAACATCGCGTCTGTTGTAACAGATTCCGAGAAAGTACCAAATGCGATACGCGATTGCGATATCTTCGATAGACGTCGACTCGTCGATTGCGAGCTGTTAGTTTTAGTTTTTAGTGTGTAAGAAAAATGTAATAAAAAAAGTTTCACGCTTAAATGTATTCAATTTGTTTAAAAATATAAACATATATAATATGCAAAAAAACATGTATTTCTTTCATTCCTTTCCTCCCACCAAAAATATTAGCCGAGAAATAACAGTCGTCAAGAGAGAGAGAGAGAGCCGCAACGGGAGAGATAATAGGTATACGAGAAAGAGATATACAATAGAGAGATAGTAAATATACAATAGAGAGAGTCGCAATGGGAGAGAGAGAGAGAGAGAGAGAGAGAGAGAGAGAGAGTTGGTAAAGAAAAAAAGAGAAGATGAAAACATGATGGGCGACGGCCCGGGCCCCCCTCTGACGTCATGTCCACGTGCCCTGTCCACGCGCAATTTTTTCTTTATATCTTCGTTATTTATCTTTAATATACAGTGTTGAAGACATCGATTGTGTTGATTCAGCGATTCAATCGCACGCTTAAGAACGACATGTTTACGCTCAATGGCACTGGGTCGACGCGCTATTTCGTTTCGTACGCGCGCCGCCCCCTCCCCGCACACTCGCACCCCCTTCGGAATTCCTGGGTTAGAACCGACCTAGTATATCTAGCAGTTACAATACCTCTTAAAAATTTACTGCTTATTCCATTTAATTAATTGAATTGAGTCAATGAAAGATGCAAACTTTGCATTAGAGAAAATTTATCCATCGCATAGTCCTGAAAAGACTTTTTTATATCATTCTATTTTCGAACTTTGATCCATTACAACAACATTAAAAAGAATTTTACTTTTGAATCTATGAGTAATAGCATCTTTAAAACCAAATCATGTCTCATTAACAGATCCAATACATAAATCAAACCAACGACGAGCAGATTTGACCAGTTTTCCAGTGGCAACACGTCGTTGCCACTATACTAGTCGTACCACGCGTTGACGTGTCGCACGAGCGGTAAACCCCTCACCCCCTCACCCGCCTGTCCCATCCCGATCTCTTTACCCCGCAACCCCTACCTTGAACACGTATGCGTCTGGGTTCCTACCCCGAAAAAAAATATTATCGATCCCTCGCTCCCACTGCCTCCACGCACGGTCTCAATTATGAAACGCTCCGAAATAGGAGTATCCCCTCGGCTCTCTCTCTCTCTCTC